AAATAATATTTTATAAAATAGGTAATTGCTGTTATTGTAGGTTGTTATTGTAGGTGCTTTCATGCAAAAATATAGCTATAAATAATCTCACAAAAAAATAAAATTTTAAATAAAAACTCTAAACTTACGGTAGAATATATAATTACTCAATCTTTTTTAAAATTCTATCTTTAACTAGTTAATTTATATTACTTTTCATTAATTACATTTAATATTGAAAAATAGAATATGTAGTAACTCAATTTCTCTCAAAATCTTATCTTTAGTTAGATGATATGTACAACTTTATATAAGTGACATTTAATACTTAAAAAATATAATATGTAGTAACTCAATCTCTCTTAAACTCTATCTTTAGCTAGTCGATACAATTCTTTACATTAGTTACATTTAATATTGAAAAATAATACGTCCAAAAATCCAACCACAAACCCATCCTATTAAACCTTAAACCCACACTCCAACAACCTCGTATCAAAACAAGAACCCTATCAAGTGTCAAACCAAAAACCCTTTAGCATTTCCTTTAAAAATAACAAATTCTTTTTAATTATTTATTTATAATTTTCAATGCTCAATTTGCTATAAAAAGCTTACACGAGATTATTTTTTTTAGCTTGAATAGGGTGCCCACATGCATGTAAGTGTTTTTTTTTTCATAGTCGAGTTAATTTAGTGATCTAAAATGCATGTAAGTGTTTTTTTTTTATTTTTTTCATATTTAAGTTGATTTAGTGATCTGAAATCGTATAATTAGTTATGTGTTTTATTTGTGGATGATAAATCAAAATAGTATAACTATACAACTTATAGTACTTCTTTTTACTGCTCATTTTTCTTTTATTTTTTTTCTCTTGTTTATGTCCATAAATTTTAGATGATAAGATAGACTTGAAATAGGGTATTCTTATAATGCCAAATTTAATGTGCATTTAAGAGAAAACATATTTTTTTGCTGTTGAATAAAATAAAAAAAATTTGAAAACACTCAATTTGAAAATTTTAAAAGATTCCTGTACATTTATATGACTATATAAAAAAATACTGACATGTAAGTAAGTAAACTAATGTTTTGAATTTAATTGATTTTCATTTATTTGGTTGTGGAATGTTCTTTTTATATTATTAATAAATTTATAAAATGAGATTGACATAGCAATTGGAATAGCATAAAGTAATTGGTTGTTGGATTATCATTGCCAAATGTCAAACAAGCAAGCCCTCTGAACCTTCCTTTAAATATAGTTATAGATGTTGAAAATCATATCTAATTACATAAAAAATAAAAAATATTAATGTTTGGTTTTCTATTGAGCATGAAATGTGAGGATTTGATCTGTGAAACTCCCAAAAATTCTCAGCATGTTTCATTGCTTTGTGAAGCTTGTCGCTGACCAGCCTGCTTCCTTTAAATATAGTTATAGATTAGTGGCAAATTAAAAAGGAAGAATGTTTTCCATTTTGCCACCTGGGAAGGTTCAGGGACATGAACAAAATGTTCATCCCAAATTCATCTAGAAAAATGAAAACCCATTTCTTTGAGACTCTTTAAGATACCATTTCTGCAATATTGAGGTTTGAAAATGCTCATCAATTCAATTTTAGGACATGGTTCTTGAGCCCAGTGTCAAAACCAGCATACATGTCTTTGTTAGAGCAGAAGGGAGAGGAAATTTAGAGAAAAAGAATGTTAGTATTTCCACAATTTTTTGAATACCAAGACCAAGAACATTTAATTCCAATTGGTATAAGAAAAAGGCTCCATTGAAAAGCTTTTCAACTGGTTTTTGGAAGTATGGGTGGACTGGCTGAGTCGCATTTATGAACATTTCTTTCACAACTTGGTTTTCTTTTTCCAGGGTAAGATGGATTTTCCTACCTGTTCTTGAGAAAATTGTTTCGCCAAACTTGACCATATCAGATCATATGCAGGCATTAATTAATGCTGATAATTCATGTTGTAAGCGTCAACTTGTAAGAAGTTATATTCAAAAAAAACTTGTAAGAAGTTAATGAGTCTATTCTTACTTTAAACAAGCTTTTAACATGTGGGATGCATATGTAATTTTATATATTATTTAATTTTTAAAAAATAAAACTTGAACATAACTTTTAATAAGAGATATATTTGCTTAATATTGAATTAAATGCTTAAAAACGCTTTAATATGAATATTAAACATACATATATACAATCAAAAAATATTAATGATTCATTTCTGTTTCATTTATTTATTATATCCTTTTTTTCTCTTTTTCCTTCCTTATTATCTTCTTCTTTCCCTTTCATTTTTGTAAACTTATGGTTTTTGCTAAACTTTCAAGAATTTAAATAAAAATGTTATGAAAAACATATTTTGACAATATTAATCTGAAAATATCTTGAAAATTGTTTGATTGCAATTATGATTATTTGCAAAAGAAAATTTTGACTAAACAAATCATGATATTAATCCCATGAGATCCTTCTGGACAAATAAATTTGATTTTGTGTACTTGAATTTTACCAGTATTTAAGTAGGCAATTAAGCATGTATTTATGGGCCATGTCAAACATTTGTGCCTATTCTTTGATCATGCTGTTTTCTATTTGAAACTGATTTACTTTTCAAATTTAGGTGTGCAAAGTAATACTATCATATTAATTAGAGCTCTTAATTATATTAAAATTAAAATTAATTGGGAATTATAACAATGGAAAAATGTTTATGTAATCAATTTGGTCTTTCAAACATAAACTTCAAATCTTGCATTTATTTATTCAAAAAAAATCTCATCGAAAAAATTTAATCAAGAAAAAAAAATCTTGTACTAGTCAGTAAACACATGTCAAAACAATAAACCATCCATGTAAAATTATTTCCTTTTTGATTAAGATTTTATCTTTTATATCTTTATATAAGCTATTAAATATATTTCTAATTTCATGAAAATTCATATATCATTTAGGAATAAATAAATCAAGATTAGCCTTCTATTTCAATGACAAGACCTAAATCTTAATTTTTTAAGATTACCCTAAACCAATTTTTTAACATCCGTGTTAAAGTAAAAAATGAACATTCAATTTGAAATGAAAAAAATAATTATTTTAAATATGTCGACAATACAGTACTTTAATATCAAATTTTAAAAATAATTTTGGAATTGTTTAGAAAAAATTTGTGGGAAAACAGGTACATATATAATCAGCCATTGTTGCAAAAATGATTTGTGTGACATTATAAACTTGGCCTGAAATGATGTCATTACTCTAAATGAAGAATTGTATGCTATTACAAGGAGAAAAGACAGTAAGGTAAAATCAAACAGAGTCTAGCCCCTTTGATACTCACTAATTTATTGAATTTATATAAGATAGGACTAAGCATGCACACAATTTTCTAACTATTCTTACGTGTAGAAAAAGGCTCGAGATATTGACACTCAGCTACTTTCTACTCAAGTATGAACCTAAGATGGGATTATTTGGAAATTTTAATTTGTGGTTTAAGTCATAATTATTAAATTGATATATGAATCGCATATCGTACCATATTAATAATTAAGATTTAAGCGTTTTCACATTTGATAGCAAATGACGATGACATAATTATATTTGTAACTAGAATGAACCTAGTACTTCCTCTTGACAAAGACAAGTGGTGCAATTTGGAGCATGAGATCAAACCCACTTTGAAGAAGACTTTTTCAAAATTAATAGTCAATAATTCAAAAATATTGTCCATTTTGTTGATACTTTTATTTCATTTTGTGAATTAAATATAATATTAAGTGTGACCCATAATTTAAACATTGGTTTAGATATCTTCAAATTTAGAGCTATTTTCCCTTGATAAGTAAGGTTGTAAAAGGTTCATCACATGTGAACCATTGAAGAAAACTGCATTTAGCTTAACTTTTAGAATATAAAACCTGTCAAAAACTGCATTTAGTTTTCTAGAATACCAAACTTTGGAATCCTAACACCCCAGGAAAGGGTTAACTATAAGATTGGGTTGTACTTTGAGGAATGGAATAATGGCACATACTAGGGAAAATGGAAAACCACCTTTCAATCCTACTTCAAGTAGCTTGCAGGAAGAAGGCAATCCCGTGGAAAGATTTTGTCCTTTTGGAATGTACCTGGTAGAAAAGTCTATGTTGTAAGCTGTACGTTAGCTGGCAGATTAGACCATGTTGATAAATAGAGATACAGGATTTTCTTGGCGTAGCCGTCCTGATCCTGCTAAACGAGACTACTTGGAAATTCACATCATATTGTACTCAGACAGGTTACTCTCAAGAGCAAACTTCCTAGTCTTCCTCTGGACAACAGTCTCGTCAACTGACAGTCGGTCTCCTGCATTTACACATCTTATTTTGGTTACTACAATAAATAAATAATTTGCCAGAGGAACCGACTACTGAATGCTACTTGTATATTTCACCTGATTAATCCAAATATATGAAGAAAAATTTATATGTTTAATTAAGATACTTGAATTACACGTAAATGCATGGAAGATTGAACGAGTAAATTGTGGTAGTAGAAAATAAACATGGACTATTCAGATACCCAACAAAAAGAAAGAAAAAAAAATCACATCAGGAGAATAAAATAAAGTGGAGAAAACAAAATTTACAGTTTCGAAGAGACTTTCCAGTTCATATTAGATTGTTTTCAAGGACTTTTCCGTTCACATATTCCTCTTGGAATAGTTTTTACATGGCAAGATTCATCTATGGTATTGTTTGTATGGAAAAACTAGGAAAATACAAGGCCATTGTTCCGACGAGAGGACCACTACTATAATTTATCAGGTTAAGTATTTGATGTTAACTACCATCCATATGGTATTGTCAAGATAGGCTGAATTTGTTGGTTTGACTGCTGATTTTAATGCATGACTCTAAATATGCAGAAAGTCCATCAAAATCCATCCTGAGCTTTCTCTATATAATAGAATATCATCTTTTAAATCTGTCAGAATTCATTGAAACTCCTTTCACTCCTTAAACATGAATCATCGCAAAGCCTCCATTCAACTTGTTTCTCTTATAGTACTGATATCAGGAATTCTGTACTCCAAAACCATTCAATTTGGTTTCTGCCAGACTGACCTTAATGCCAGTTGCATTGCAGCTGAGAGGGAGGCACTGCTCAAGTTCAAAGAAGGCCTTACAGACCCTACAGGTCGGCTGTCATCTTGGGTCGGAGGAAATTGCTGTAGATGGAACGGTGTGAGTTGCAACGGCAGATCTGGTCATGTTTCCAAGCTCAACCTTCGCAATACACATCCAGATGACTTCGATGCTGATGGAACAGTGTACAAATTGGGTGGTAAGATCAATCCATCCTTGCTTAATTTGAAAATGTTGAATTACTTGGACTTGAGTGGAAATGACTTTCGAGGTGTCATTCCGGACTTCGTTGGATCACTAAGGAAGTTGGTGTACCTCAATCTTTCTGGTGCATCTTTCAAAGGAATGATACCTCCAAAAGGAAACCTCTCGAAGTTGAGTTATCTTGATCTCAGTGATGCACTCGATGACTCAACGGAGAGCAATCTCAGATGGCTCTCCCGTCTCTCTTCCTTGAAATATCTTAATTTGGGAGGTATAAATCTGATCAATGCATCGAGATATTGGCTTCAAGCTTTCAACATGCTACCTTCCCTTGAGGAGCTGCACTTGTATGATTGCCAACTTTCCAATCTCCCCGTCACTCTACCACTCATCAACTTTACATCTCTTTTGGTACTTGACCTCTCCAACAATGGATTCAGCTCCCCAATACCACTTTGGTTGTCCAATTGTACTAACCTTCGCCATCTTGATCTCAACACCAACAATCTCCAAGGTGAACTTCCAAATGAATTTGCAAACCTGAAAAATATCCGATACCTTGATTTGTCTCTGAATTCAAACATCAATGGAAAATTAACTAGAGATTTAGGAAACCTCTGTAATTTGCAGAGCTTGAAGCTCTCTTTTAACAAGATCAGTGGTGAGATAACTGAGTTCATTGATGGTTTATCTGGATGCAACAACAGTATCTTAGAGACCCTAGATATTGGATACAACAAATTAATTGGCAAACTGCCTAGTTCCTTAGGATATCTTACGAAGTTGAGATCCGTTAAACTTTGGTCTAACTCGTTTCAAGGTTCAATTCCTCCATCAATTGGAAATTTATCATTATTGGAGGACTTCTACGTTGCGAACAATCAGATGAGTGGCATCCCAGAAAGTCTTGGTCAACTCTCAGCCCTAGCTGCTCTAGATTTCTCAGAAAACTTGTGGGAAGGTGTCATTACGGAAGCTCATTTTGTGAACCTCTCAAGTCTAACGGATTTTCTTCTCTATAGATTGTCCAATAACGTTTCCTTGGTATTCAATATCAGTTCTGATTGGATTCCCCCTTTCAAACTCAAGTACATCAAGATTAGATCATGTCAACTAGGTCCAAATTTTCCTAGCTGGCTTAGAAATCAAAACGAGCTGACAACTTTGGTACTCAACCATGCGGGGATAACAGGTACCATACCTGATTGGTTTCTGCAATTGAATCTGCAGTTTAAGGAACTAGATATTGGTTCTAATCAATTGAGCGGACAGATACCAAGCTCCTTGCACTTCCTTGACTCAGCTACCGCTGATTTCAGTTTTAACTCTTTTGAAGGTCCGTTCCCACGCTTATCATCTAATGTGACTATATTATTTTTGAATAATAATCTACTTTCTGGCCCAATTCCACAGGACATTGGTGAAGTAATGTTCCTTGTTGAGGCCATCTATATCTATGACAACTCTTTTGATGGTAGTATTCCACTGTCCATGGGTAATTTAACAGAACTACTAACCTTGGATATGTCAAACAATAGTTTGTCTGGGGAGATTCCTGAATTTTGGAATCATATTCCTTTCTTGTTGATTCTAGATTTGTCAAATAACAATCTTTCTGGTAAAATACCTACATCATTAGGTATTCCTAGTTCACTGAAATTCTTGAAACTCAGTAACAACAATCTCACTGGTCAAATCCCTCCTTCCTTGCAGAACTGTACTCTAATGCTTAGTATTGATCTTGGTGACAATCAATTATCTGGAAACCTTCCAAGTTGGATTGGAAAAAGCATGAAATCATTGTTGATCTTGCGCTTGCGATCCAACTTCTTTGGTGGAAGTATTCCTTCGGAGATATGTGACCTTCCATATCTTCATTTATTGGACCTTGCAAACAACAGTCTCTCGGGATCCATTCCTTCATGTGTTGGAAATCTGACTGGAATGAAGTATCAACTTAAGGATATGAATACAGAGTTGTATCAGGGACAGCTGAGTGTGGTGACAAAAGGAAGGGAACTTGAATATCAAAGCACTCTTTACCTTGTCAACAGTCTCGATCTTTCAAGCAATAATCTATCAGGAACGTTGCCAGTTGGGCTTACAAGCCTTGTTGAGCTTGGGACATTGAACTTGTCTATGAATCATTTGATGGGGACAATACCAGAAAATATAGGTGAACTGAAACTATTAGAAACTCTTGACTTATCGAGAAACAAGCTTTGTGGCCAAATTCCACCAGGCATGGTTTCTTTGACATTTTTGAATCACTTGAATTTTTCATACAATAATTTGTCTGGAAAAATTCCAACGACCAACCAGTTCCAAAGTCTTAATGATCCATCAATCTATGAGGGAAATCCTGCACTTTGTGGGCTTCCATTATCAACCAAGTGCGCTGATGGCAATGAAACAACTCATTCCTTTGATGGAGACAAAGACAACGGAGATGCTAAGGACAAAGATGAGATTGAACTCCTCGGGTTCTTTATTAGCTTGGTGTTGGGTTTCTTTGTGGGGTTTTGGGGAGTCTGTGGGACTCTGATCATCAAGAAATCATGGAGGCAGGCTTATTTTTCTTTTGTTGATGGAGCCAAGGACAAATTCCTTGCATTCTTCCTGGTAAATGTTCATTGTCTGCGAAGGAAAATCTTCAGGAATTAAAAAAAAGCTTAGCATATCTCCAATGTAGCAAGTATCCGTTACTTGCATGACATGTTGGTACTCTAATTAATAATAAAATGATACTATAAGCATTTATTTTATGATACCTGAAGCGTTTTTAACCAGAATTGTGTTAAGAAAAATTAATTAAATAGTAATAATTTTTTAATATTTAATTATTTTATATCTAAAAATATATAAATAAATAAATTTAATGTTTATTGACATGAAAATTCTCATATTATTGTTATATTTGAAGTTATTCAAATCCAATCATTTAGCAATTAATACTCCTTTTCTCACTATGAAAGAATTTAAATTTCATTTTATCATTTCTAAAAGTTTAATGAAGTTTTCTAAATAGTGCTATAATTAAAATGAAGTTTGTCTAAATGACTTATTTTGAGAGAGTGAAAATGTCAAGAAGAGAAAGCATCATTGCATGTTTCAAAAGCAGGATTGAAATTTTGAAAAGGAGGTAGTTTAGGTTTTGGTTTTTTTAATATAATCTTAAATTATAAAATGAAAACTTTTTATTTATCATGTAGTATTTAAATATTAGTATATAAATTACTTTTTGATAAATATACTTTGACTTGGAATCTTTTGTCATGGTCCGTAAATCCGTGATTAGTCCAAACCGTATGAACTGTCGAGCTAGTCCACATGCAAAGGTCCATCAAATGTTGCCTTGACAATTAAACAAAGTATTTTAGGGTAGCTAGAATACTTTTCAAAATAAAATTTTCCTTATATTACAAAAAAGTCTAAGTTAGATACTTTCGTATTTATTTTTACTTGCACACCAAATTTTTGTCAAGCAGGTTATTATAAATAACACTTTTAAAAGACAATTAAATCAATTGTGCCGAATCAAGTAATTTACTTTGTACTTAAATCTTAAGTATTTTGTTTTTTCTTCATTAGAACAATAATACTTATTTATTCTCTCTAATCTCTTTTTTCATATTTATTTATTTTACGTTTCCGCGTCAATTGTCAAAAAACCTATTTTAGGCTTATTTAGTCTTACGAACATGAGACTACAACGTTGCACAGAACTTAACTAAAGTTCAAAGTCCGTGACACCTTTACTTCACTTTCTATAAAATTGAAAAAAAAATCTAGCAAGTTCATTAATATCATTAACTATATAAAACTTTAATATAAGTAATATAATAAGAAGAAAATTTTAACATTTCAGTAAATGAATGGTTTCATGTGACACCACTTTTCTTCATATAGATCCGTTAATGGGAATGAAAATATATATATAAACATAGATATGTAAACCGAACAAATTAAATAAAAAATATTGTTAAAAATATATATATGTATATATTAAATACAAAAAAAAAAGTATTTGAGAATTTACTTGGCAAATAAAAGACTCAACAATTAAATGCAGAGTTCGAAAATTTTGGATTAAAACAAGATGAAGTTATTCTTCAAAGGGTTAAATAATAATTTAAAAAATATTAGGGGGGGCTAAGTAAAATCCTTTCGGAGCGTTATGTGACTTGGGAACTGCTTCTCTGTAACATTGTTGGCTTAAACTGAGTGCCCATATACCGTTTGAGTATCTCCAACACAAATACTAGCTTCAGTTGCGAACCTGGTTCGGTCACTCTCGACAAATCTGTTGTACCATGTTCTTGCTTGCAAAATTATCTAATCTATTTATCAGAATTGTTGTAATCTGCCGTACCATGTTTCCTTGTCAAGTTGTCGAATGCGCTGGCTAATCAGAGACCATATCCTTTCTAACCACCAAACTCCATTATCAGATGCGCTTGCTTTTTCTTTCATTGTAAATGATAGTTTTGTCTGCAGTAAAATATTTTATTGTTGAATGGAAAATTTGAAAAGATGCATTCTAACCATACAAAATTTGATTAACAGCATTCTTTGAGCAGAGAATGCTGCTTTGCAATGAAATGGAAAGACACAAGTAACTTTCTTTACCCGTATCTGTGTTTATGCAACCACTCTGCTGACAAAAACAGCAACAGAGTGCTACAATTTCAGCATGAGTAGTTAGCTTATTTAGAACATGTTTATTATAGTATCTTGCAAACTAAACCTGAGTTTCTTACTTGTTCATTGATCTTCTTAGGCGAGCTAATTTTAATGATACAAACACCATTACCCTTTCTTTCGTATCATCAAGGAATTGGAAATAGACATGCCTCCAAGATTTCTTCACTATTAAGGGCCCGCACACTGCCCAAAATCCCACAACAAATCCCGGTCCCATGCTGATATAGAACCACAGCATTTCGTTGTCATCTCCATCTTCAATGTGCTTGTCTCCTGCGCCAGGGGAATGTGTTGGATCATCATCGCCGTTGCACTTTGTTGGTAGTGGTAGCCCACAAAGTCCACTGTTACCTTCATAAATGGATGGATCAATGAAGGTTTGAAACTGGTTGGCTGATGGAATCTTACCTGACAGGTTATTATATGAAAGGTTCAAGTGATTCAATGAAGTTAAGGAGACCATGCTTGGTGGGATCATGCCAGAAAGTTGATTTCTTGAGAGGTCGAGTGTCTCCAGCCATTGCAAGCGACCAATACCTGATGATATCTTTCCTGTCAAATGGTTCATTGACAAGTTCAAAGTGCCCAATCTTGAGAGATTTGTCAGCTCTTCAGGGAAATCTCCAGATAAGTTGTTGCTTGAAAGGTCTATGCTATTCACAAGAAAAAGATAAACATCATAAAAGAGATCTCTTCCTTTTGCCACAACCCACAACTGCGACTCATATCTGTTATCCTTAATAATGGTTGAAAATCCACTCATATTGCCAATACAACGAGGAATTGATCCTGACAAATTGTTTTCTCCCAAGTCCAGTATATGGAGAAGGGAAAGATTGCATAATTGTCTTGGAATATGCCCATTGAACATGTTTGACCGCAAACTTAGAATCAACAAAGATGGCATCGTTTCTCCAATCCAAGTTGGGATGTCTCCAGAAAGCTTGTTGTCGCCAAGATCAAGAGTTTCAATGAGTGTGCAATTCTGCAGGGTAGGTGAGAGTTCCCCAGAAAGATTGTTTGTGCTCAATCTTAAGTATTTAAGTGCAGTCAAAGAACCCAAAGAATGTGGTATATCCCCAGATAAACTGTTATTAGACATATCAATAAGATACAAGTCTGGTATGTTATTCCAGATATCAGGAATTTTTCCAGTCAACTGATTGTCAGAGATGACAAAAGTAAGCAAGAAACTCATTTCTCCAATGGATGAGGGAATAGAACCATTTAAGGAGTTGAAAGAGAGATCAACATCAGCCAACATGGGCATTCTTTCACCAATATCATGAGGAATCGGTCCAGAAAGCATATTATGGTCAAGATGGAATGAAGTCAAATTCAATGAAAAAATCGGTAGAGGGCCTATGAAATTATTGTAGTTCAAGAAAACAATACCTTGAGGCATAAACGTTATGGTGTTTGGCAGTGTACCAGTTAACTGATTGTAACTGAAGTCTAGTTCATTCAAAACTAAATCTAACTCCCAAAACCACTTTGGGATGGTGCCTGAGATCCCAGCATTCCACACAGCTACAGTCTTTAGCTCATCTTGATTTCTTAGCCATTCTGGAAATTTAGGGCCTACTTGGCATGATTTGAGATTTATGTATGTAAGTTTGAAAGGAGGAATCCAATTGGTACTCACATTGAAAATCAAGGTGATGTTCCTAGACATTTGAGCAATGGATAGCTCCTTTAAGTTTGTGAGATTAGAAAAATGAGCTTCTGTTATAACACCATGCCATTGATTGCCTTTGACATCTAATGAGACTAAGGAGGAGAGTTGTCCAAGGCTTCTTGGAATTGTTCCTTCCATTGCATTCTCTGAGAGATAGAATTCCTCTAATGAAGACAAATTCCCTATGGATTCGGGAATGGAACCTACAAAGTAGTTTTTCATGAGAAAAAGATGTTTTAAGTTCCTCAAGTGTCCTAAGGAATCAGGAAGAATGCCGCGCAGTTCATTGTAACCCAAATGCAATGACTCTAAGCTGCAATTGTTGCATTGAGATAAGCCATTGATAAATTCACCTATATCACCAGTAATCTTGTTGAAAGAGAGATCAAGCACATGCAAATTGCAGAGGCTTCCCAAATTTCTTTTCAACAGCTTGCCTTCAATAAATGAATTTTTAGACAAATCAAGGTTTTGAAGATTGATCATGCCTGCAAATCCATCAGGAATTTCGCCTCTGAGGTTGTTTGAGTTGAGATCAAGATACTCAAGACCACTTATATTAAAAAGCCAACTAGGTATAGAGGAGTTGAAACCATTGTTTGAGAGATCAAGCACAGAAAGGGATGAAAAATTAACAAGGGGAACTGAGAGAGGAAGAATGGAAAGTCCACAAGCTGGTAAGTGCAACTCCTCTAATGAAGGAAGCATGTTGACAGCTTGAAGCCAGTACGTCCCAACCTTGCTAAGATCAACACTTCCCAAATTTAGGTGTTTCAATTTGGAAAGGGTTGATAACCAATGTAAGTCATTCTTGTTTGAGTCACTAAAACAAGAATTGAGATCAAGATAGTGCAAGTTGGTAAGGTTTCCAAGAAATGAAGGAATTGGTCCACCGAAAAAAGCACCCGAGAGATTGAGATATCTCAAAGTCTTGAGTGATCCGACGAAGTTTGGGATTGAGACTCCTTCAAAATTGTTCATACTCAAGTCTAAGTACTTCAAATATTGCAAATCAAGCAAAGAAGGATGTATCTTACCACCTAATGCATAAGATGTTACATCCACATCAGGATTATTGGAATACAAGTTGGGAAGTTTGAGCTTGGTGACATGATGTCCGAGCTTGTCACTGCACTGCACACCAGCCCAGCTACAACAATCTTCTCCTCTCCAAGAAGAGAGCCTCCCTGAGGGATCTGTGAGACCGTCTTTGAATTTGAGAAGAGCTTCCCTCTCCTTTGCAATGCAACTAACATTTTGACTCTCACATGAACCAAATTTAATAATTTCGAGGTAAAGGAACTCATAGGAGAGGATCATAATAAGAAACAAACACCAGACAGAAGCACTAGTGTTTGCCATGTCTCTTGCAGGTAAGAAAATGTACGAAGATGCACTTGAGCTTATGCTATTATAGGAACCAAAATAATAATAATAATAAATAAAAAGAACAGTTCCTTGACTTAATATCTTTCTGCTGGACCATTGAGGAAACCATAGTTTTCTCAGTTCTACTGTCTTTTGCACATATATAAGATATTTTTATTCCAGAGCGGTTTTATAGAAGTTATAACTATACAAGAAGTCGTGTGGGAAATCACTTAAATGGTTTCATATTCCAAGTTTTTACTTCCCATTGTTTCTAATGTAACAGGAACTTCCATTCATTATCTCTCCTTAGTAAAGAGGAAACGCATCATATAAAACATACAGCCTTTCCATCCCACTTGTTCTTTATTTGTTTACTTTTTTCGATTATAAAAGAACCCACTTGTTCGGAAAGAGTAGACAATACCAAAAACATGCATCTAGACTCATTTTGACCCAAAAGGGGTCAAAGATGATGTCCATATTGTGGAGCTGAATGAAGGTTTTCTGAACTTTTAATCTTTTTATTTCCTTTTGTTGAAGTCAAGTAACAGTTTGAATAATGACCAAATTGTGAATGCAGAAGTTTCCAAGAAAGGAAAGTATGGATTCTTAGAGATTGGGTTGGGGACAGCAGTTTGGCACCCATCGACTCCAGCAAAATCTAAAAAAACCAGCTGAATGAAAGGGTGAAAGTGAACTCACCTCAATTCTAGTTCCTGTCATGTAAGTAGAAGAAAATGATAAAGCAGAGGTTTTGACTGTTTGTAGAGAGAAAGAAGAAAAGGAAAAAAACTGAGCAGCGGATGGAGGAGGAAGATACTTCATTAATCAGTAAACACATAATATATACAAGCATTATATGGTTAACACCTGCGTACAAATGGACAAGTGTTATTAACCTGAACATGCACAAAGACACCTCATAGCCACTGGTATAATGTACTTAATAACCAGTACAATGAAGCAAAATACATAGAGTAGAACAAAATGATAACATTAATGCATGCTCAGTGCTTTAACTCTAACAGTTCCAAGAAGATTGACCATCTTTTATTATTTCCAACATTACTAGGAATACAGAGATGCATACACTTGCATACAAAGTCATTTCCATAAAAGACTTATGAACTAAACTGCAATTTTTAGCTATTGTTCACATGCAATTAATGTCCAAATGACTGATAAGAAAATCAATGAATCTGCACTTTCGGTCATTCTATTTATAGGGAAAAAGGAAAAAAGAAGAAAAGAAAAGAACAAAGTTGCTTTATGTTAAAGTCAAAAGTTTATTGGTAAACCATTAGAGGAATCCATAGTTTTCTCAGCTCAGTTGTCTCATGCAAATGTTTAAGATTTTCTGACAGTCTTTCTTTATAAGAAGTCATGAAAGGTGGAACTCAAGCTAATCCAAAATCTAGCTGACAAAAATTTAGAAATAAGAGAAAATAAAAAGGTGGAACTCAAGCTAATAATAATTCCACGAAGATTAACCCTTTCTTTTAGTCTTTCCCGTATAGTAGAAACATGTAGATGCAGACAGTGGCAGACCAAGTCACTGCTATTAAAATTTCATAAACTATGCAACTTTTAGCTAGTATTTTATTTTTGGCATGCAATGACACAAATATGGGTTGCTTTTGACTAGCATTGGGTACAGGTAAAGAAGGACAACCCATAGCAGAAACTGGAAAATTTCAGTCTATTCATACTGTGGAAAATGGGAAATTTTCACACTTTCCATATTTGTGGAAATTTGTTAACCAAATTGTACTCCTCGAGTGGCAGAAGATCTTGCATCTTTCTAACGAAGAGTTGAGCACAACTTAGAGAGAGCCAGTTCAAATAATTAAGTGGTTAGGAACAGGGCGAGAAAGTAATGTATGGATAGGGACATTAGACACCCATCCATCATTTCAAAGACTAATTGGAGAACCTGTTTTAAAAGAATACTTTTGATAATGCCTTTCCACAAGCAAGAGCTGGGAGGATTTGGAGAAGCTTAGAAGATTAATTGCGAAAGCTCTTTTATGATGATTATTTTCTTCGACTAAGTTTTTCACTTTTTATGTTATCTAAACGAGCTTTTAACCCAATATTAAATATGATTTGACATATAATTATAGCTGCATGATAGTTAATATAGCTGCACTTATTACCACATTAATTATCCAAGTCATTGATCATGTGGATAGAAAATACTAATTGATATCACGTTTAAAAATATATATAATTTTTCATGTAAATTAAAGATTTGTTTGAGTATAAATAAAAAAAGTTAAGAACTAATTCAGGTACAATAAAAATTGAGAAGTTGGTGAAGCAATTGTTAATGTGCAGAGACTCTTTTGCTATTTAAGTCAACATTTTCTTTTGCACTCCTTTAATGCTATTTGTGGAAATTATTGAACAAACTAGTGGGCCCCTTTTTAATGTTAGGTCAACATTGAACAATTGAAAATAGATGACCTCCGGAAAGAAGAATTTACTAAGCATGGGCTGACAGGTGGCTATGCTCAACTTATAGCATAAGATCAGATATAGTAATATTAAGTTTAAGATTTATATTTTCTCTTTTCACAAGTTTAAAAAAAAATAAAGAAGAAAAGAAATATAAAAACATACTAGTAATATTAATCTTGCAAATCTATTGCTCAATTTATATAAATATATGATAATTTTGTATTTTTAACCAAGAAAGATTGAGTAATTACAATTCAAAGATATAACATATATATAATTCAAAGATGTTATACACACATATATATATATATATATAATTGTATACTCATATTATACGTGCTTCTCATGAAACAAATCATAGCCAAAAAATAAACATAATGAGTATTACTAGATATGGAGAGATGCATATACCTGGATATAAAGTCATTTTCTTAAATTATATATATATATTATAATTTTTAATTATTTTTTTATATAATTAAATGAAATAAAATATTATTAATTTTGATAAAATGAATTTTACCTTTTTAATCAAGATCTTTCCTCTATTTAATAAATATATTTTAAAATTAATGACGTGAACCCGTGACATTTACACTAAAATTTTCTCATTTTTTGAATTGACCCAGCTCCCTTTGACGAAAGATCAGGCTTCTCAAATGGAAGGGGCTATGTTGTGAAGAGGGGTAGACGAGAGTTTCCCCTTTCCACCATAGCACTTGGAAAAAGAAGGATTTGGTGGTCGGGATGAGGATCCTCCATTACAGTGCACGGGCCTGCCTTTACAGTGCATGCCCACTAAGGGTTGACACTTGTGTAAGGTTTGTCCCAAATTAAGAAAAGTCTTATATTTTTATAATAATAATATAATTAATTATATTAAAATATATAAAAATTAAAATAATCAATAAAAATTTACCTATTCTATCATGTATAATAAATATTTATTTTCTCTCACTTTCGCATCTCTATTAATTTTAAATTAATTATCTCATTTATTATTAAAAATATATAAATATAAAAATAATTAACAAAACGACATATTCTCTCTCTTCTTTAATTATATGTCAAATAAATTTTAATTTTTTAACACTTTCTAATTATTTTTTTTTCAACTTATAATATCCTCTTTTGAATTTTTCTTACGTTATTTACTATTTCTTCCTTTAACTTTATATTTCCTCCAAAGAATATGAAAAATTTTGTTATGCTATTATCTTCATATAACTGTGAGTCTCATTTACGATTTGCAATAAACATTCGACTGTTAGATTCTATTGTTTTAATCTTTATAGATATTTTTACCTTCATTTAGAGTTTATATTATATTATTATATTATTTTTATTTTATATGGCAGTTAATTTATTTGAATTAAAATTTTGATTGTTATTTTCATATTAGCCATTTAAAAAATATAAAACAATTATAATAGTTAAATATTTTTTATACTTCATAATAAATATTTAAATATTTAAATACGTTAAATCGAAAATATGAATTTGGTCATTCATAGCTTAAAAAAATTTACTTTAATTTTAATAAATAGGCCTTATTTGAATAGTTTGCTTTAGGCCTTTAAGATTATCGAGGTGTTCTTGCACCCACCTCTCTAAAGAGTTGATCCTTACTTGGGAAGGAAAGGTCTCGGAGTTCATCAAGCAATTTAGCAACACACAAAGAAGGGTTGGAGTGCCCACACAACTCAAGACCAAATAAAGGGATGATGAACCTAGCACGGAGTTCATTGCAAGGTGACAAACCCTTACTTTTGCCAGTCACCAAAAATGGACTTAGAAAGAGCTCCTCAAGATATGTATGAACAACTTCAGGCACAACTTATTATCAAGACACTTGCCTCAAACCTGTAAGGGATTAAGGACTTCTGCATAAACCTCACAATGTGGAAGCATATCTTAGCAAATGACGGTGTCTTATGAAGTACTTGAAGTTCGTTTTATTACCTTATTAAGAAAGTAGATGAATCACTTTCTTTATCTGTTATAAAAGTGAACTTCTTTTTCATAACCTCTATACGTATGCAGAAAACAAAAATTCTTACTTTTGATAATTCTATTTTATAGAATTATTTTAGTCTAATTTTGTTATTAAATATTAATTAAATCTTTAATTTTTTATTAGAATTTAGTTAATTTGATTTATTTTTACAATTAGTTTATTTTTATTGAGTTATTTTAATTTTATATTTATTTACTTTAATGTAGCTATTATTTATTAATTTTTATTCTTTGATACGATTTAAAGAAATACAGTTTAATTTTGAAAAGTAAGGTGTTTCACGTATACTTGCGTGAAGTCTTTCTTAACCTTGAGATCGCATCTCTTTGCCTAACTCAAAGTGATTAAGGTATTGGAGGCCCTACATCAAGCATAGCTTTGGTTTTTTTATCATTCACCAAGAGATCCATGTCTATGAAACCTCATTAGGGCTCCTTCTTCATTGTTTCCATTTATGCTTACAAGGCACTAAGGAACTGAATTAAGCCCATACGCGACAACTCTTCCTCAATTTCCTCCATTAGGGTTTGGGCTTAAGGTGCTTCCACATTAGCAATACATATCACATTCAGAGCTACTTGATGTGGACATTCAAGTACTCAATAAAGTTCATTACAAAGAAAACAAGATATTGGGGCTCATGGTTTGAAGCCCCATGGCTTAGTTGTTCTTGGTTGTGGTGTGTCTTGAGCAGGTGATCTCTTTGTTCCTCCCTTATTTAAGGATCTGTAAACTCTTAGGAATTTTACCCCGTTATTGGAGCTCAAGCTACTAGTTCTTGATAAGGAATCCTTCTATTTATATGAGTTATCATTGTAATCAGTAAGACATTCAACAGCCGCCATTGTTGAAGTCATATCCTGTACCTTTTGTCATTGTAATTTTTTCTTAGCCCATGGCTTCAAACCCTCAAGAAAATAAAACAACTTATCTTTCCCGGTCATGTCCCCAATATCTAGCATTATGGTAAAAAAGTTTCTCACGAATTCTGGGACTGATCCAGTTTATGTAAGCTCTTGCAACTTTTGTCGAGCCATGTACTTTGCATTCTCCAGGAAAATTTGGTTCTTCAGTTCTTGCTTCAAGTCTGTCTACATCTGTATGTGACACTCACCATCGACAAATTTGGAATGCCACCACAATTTGGCATCCCTTGCAAGATACATTGTGACCAGCACCACCTTATCTTCCTTTGACTCCATATGCATAACTCAAAAGTACTACTCAATATAAAAGAGGAAGTTCTCTAACTCTTTTGCATCTCTAACCCCTTCGCATCGCTTAGGTTTCTGCATTTTAGCCTTTTTCCCTCAATCTCCTAGATTTGCACTGCCATTACCTACGACACTAATTAAGAGGTTTATTTGAGCTTTTAATTCTCCAAACTCACCTTGGAGAGTGCTCAATGTATCTTTAGTCTCATCACTCAGGGTATTTATCATTTTGGACAATTCCTACTAGATTATCTCAATTTTATCTATCCGCTTTTGCAAAACCATATGAGCTTTTATTACGACCACCATGGCCTCTAACTCATCAACTCTCTAATGGTCCTCTAGTACACTCCGCGTGCTCACTATGTTTACTCTTTCACTTAACATGTTTCACCTGTGCTTTGATACTAAGTGTCACAAACAATGCTCCTTAGCTTAAATATGCAATAATTCGTACGACACTTGAATGAATATTTCTATACAAGCCAGTCAATAACTCATTTAAATTTGAACAAACATCAATAATAGTTACAAATTAGATTAAGGCCACTCAACATTGAAATCATAAGGTATAACGAATGTCATATACGTAACCACTAGAGCCACATAAAAAAATATTTTAAAAATATCAAAAAAAGCACAAAAGGATTAGAACACATCATCGTCGGGCCATAGGGGCAGTCCTAGATGACTCATTACAAACATACCTTTCCTAGTGAGGTAGCCAAACAATCTAGCTACTGCTCACTCCTATAAAGAGTTTACAAGGATTTACAAGTATTTCACCAATAACCATTACAATTTATGAGATGGGGACAATCTTCTCCTAAAGGGTTTTCCCTGCAAAGATTTAATAAGTATTTCTAGAGCCGTCACCAAATACCATTACAATGTTTGAAATGAGGACATGTTCCTTACGGATACAAAAGACTTAATCTCTTATGTAATTTTACCCTATCATAACACTATACAAGATTGACTCATGACATCTAAACTTGTCACTGCATTACACACCAAGCACCAACCTAGCTACAGCAATCTTCTCCTGTCCAAGAAGAGAACCGCCTTGAAGGATTAGTGAGAAATTCTTTGAATTTGGGAAGAGCTTCTCACTCCATTACAATGCAACTTACATTTTGACTCTCACATGAACCAAGTTTAATAGTTTCAAGGTAAAGGAACTTAAAGGAGAAGATCATAATAAAATAAAACATCAAATAAAAGGACTAGTGTCTGCCATGTCTCTTACAAGTAAGAAAATGTAAAAAGAAGTCACGTCCATACACCTGCATGCAAAGTCACGTCCATAAATATTTTACAATTATTACAACTCAATGAGACAAAGCTTGTTTTCACCATGTCTCTTGCAAGTTAGAAAATCAAAAGAAGATGGACTTTTGCTCATGCTATTCACTGCATAAAAAAGAAGAAAAGAAAAGAAAACAGTTGCTTTGAGGTATAAAGTTTAAAAAAAAAAATTACGCTGAACCATTTGAGGAAGCCTTAGTTTTCTGAGTTCTCAATTGTCTTACGTACATGTTTTAAGGTATTCTGAAAGTCCTGACTATGGCTTTCTAGGAGGAAAAGTTTGGATTCGTGGAGTATGGGTAAAGGTCAAGAACAACCCTTACCCAACTCATAGCGGCAACTGGAAATTTTCAGCCTATTCCTATTGTGGAAAGCGGAAAAATTTTCACACTTTTTCATATTTGTGGAAATTTATTAATCAAATCGTACTCCAGGAGTGGCCAAAGACCTTGCATCCTGCTAAAGAGTTGAACACAACTCAAACGAGTCAGTTTCAAGTAAACTAAGTGGTTAAGTAATGCATGGATCTAATAGTATTTATCTCATATATTTATTGCTCAATTTATATAAATATATAACTTATTATAAAGATAAATAATTTTGTATTTTTGGTCAAGAGAGATTGAACATTTATGACTCAATAATCTTAGATATTTGATACATTGTCACTATTTAGTACTTATACATTATTATTAAATCAAATTTTGTCATCTCATCAATAAATAAATTTAAAAGTAGGAAACTCTCAAAAATAAATACTCATAGCTTTAGAAATATTTATTTGAAAGATTTTTTAACTTTTATCTTTACACGTTTAAGAAACGATACTTTCTGATTAAGTGATAGTGTATAAATGCTATAAATTGACGACATATCAAATATAAATTCATATAAAATTGCACAAAATTATAGTTGCGTCACACGACAAAAAATATTGAAGAAAATTACATAATGAGACATAATTAGTGTTAGTAATTATGTCATTATATTGTTCATGGGTCAAGCAGCTTGTCTAGACCCCAAAGTCGAGCCCGTAAACTTTGAAATGGATTAACGGGCCTGATCCGGCCCAACTAAAAAGGGCATGGAAAAACAGTTTGGGTCCGGATCGGGTTAAAAAGGACAACCGACCCGGTTAATCGGTTAGATATTTATCGGTGTAATGGCAGTGTTATCCATTCCCGCCAAGGAGAGTCGAAGAAATCTCAACGCCGGCCACCGCACGCAGTACAGATGTCCCTGTACACCATCCCTTTCCGCCCACCTTGTCCAATCATTGCCTGCCGCGTGTCTTCATCCCTAGCCGTCACTCTCCCTTCACCTCCTACCGCTACCGCAACTGCAGCCGCCCTTCCCTCGCTTACATGCGCCTTGCAATGCCCTCACTTCGAAACGTAGGCATGATTTCACTCAAATTTTAGTTGCAAAGACTTAAGTGTTTTTTTTAAAAGAAAAAAAAAGTGTAACTTTCAGGTGCTCTGGATGCACGCACGAGTTCAATCTACACCGTCCGATCATCGTGGAGGAAGCAACTGATTTCTTCAAGAGTCTTGGAGTTTCAGATTTTACTTTCGATAGCTGTAGATTGGTATCTTACCACGAATACTTATTCACGTCCCACCTAAAAATTTTCCTATTTTTTCCCTTAAAATTGATACCTTTTTGGGAAGGGTTTTCATTCTGTGCTTCGCTTTCCAGTGGGGATGGAGATGTCGAGCAAAGCTAGCTGTTCGTGGATCATCGGAGAACCCTCTGATTGGACTCTACCACGAGGGTACTCACAACGTAGTGGATATTCCTCAATGCAAAGGTCTGAAAAAAAGCGAAAATTTTAATTCATAGTTTTCAAATCTCTTTGTTATTTTTTACTAATCACCGTTTTAAGTTCTTAATCTTGATTTGTTTAATCTTAACCTTGCTGCTCCAGCTCATCACCCCAATATTAATGCCGCTGTTGAGCTACTAAGACAAGGTGGATTCTTTTCTTCTTTCTTTTATTCCTTTCTTTTCTCTTTTAAATTTTCTTTTTCGATTAAATATACAATTTTTTTTTTAAACTTAATCTCTTATGTTTTTGTATTTAGGTATTAGAGAGTTAAATATTGAGCCATACGATGAGGATCAAGGGACAGGGGATTTGCGATACCTTCAGGTGATTTATTCAGATGATTTTAAGTATATAAATCGACAAGAAAGGCGATATGTTTATATATATGTATATGAAGATTTTGATAAATGTTTATTGTCTACAGATGGCAGTGACAACATACAATACATCACTTCCAGCTGCGGAAAGATATAGAAATGGTAATTTTAAACAATTATATGTATATTTGAAAAATATCTGTTTTTCTTAATAACTCAAGACGAATGAGAGTGAAGGTTGTTATAATTTGATTCCAGGCAGAGTACAGGTATCTTTAGTTTGGAATTCAAGAAATGAGAAATCTTCGAATTCGGACAAATTAAATGCCTTGGCCAATGTGAGCTCAACTTCCTAACTTTAGTACCCTTTTGTTGCCTTTTCTTACCTTTTGTCGTTTGATGTATAGTTTTGCCAAATGGTGTACAGTTCTTGTGGAGAAATGGTGGGCCAAGGAGTAATCTCCATTTGATTCACTCTGTATGGGCTAATTTTCAAACATCTACTAACAATGTGAGTTGGTAGTTTATCTTTTGAAATATATGATGAATAGTTCATGTCTGCTGTGGCTTGTTGAGAGGAAAAAGTTGTTATTAATGCGATTGTGATTCTTGGATATTTCCCTTAAATTAATCTCATCGTTTGAGCTGGCAAACTGGAAGAGCTTACAAGCAGTAAAAGGCTATTTTAAGAAACTGTTGAGAAGAAACTGAAATGGACTCATTGATCTTTTATAACAAGTAATTTTAAGTGGAAGTGGAATTTTGCCAGTTGCATGAATTGCTAATTGTTCTTGTATGTTCATTGTCATTTGCTATGCTGCTAGCTATTGTTGATTGTTCCTTTTCTTTTTTCCCCTTTTTAAATGCTTTGAACACTAAGAACTTATAATGTTTACTGATGATGCAGATAATTTTTGGGAATAGGTGGAGACATCTGTTAGGGGAAAGAGATTTCTGGGAACATGTGGGAGGAATTGATATATCCTTGGATCCCTCCAGTTTTGGCCAAGCAAACACACGGGTGAGCAAAACTGCTAATTAAATAGGTCATGTTTGAGTGTGAATACTTACATGCTATCAAATATACAATCACCAAAGAAAAAGAATGAATAGTATGCAGCAAACTAGAGCTAAGCATCGTAAAATATTATTTACACAGGCAAACTGACGGTCTGCAGAGTCAGGGCTCGGAGGTGCCATTTCTGAAAGCTATAGCCGTCATAGTGAATTTTGTTTCTGATATAGGTGCTTGTGCCTTTTCTTGGTCCATTTTGTGTTTACTGCATGATGCAGGACACAGATTTATCCTTTTGTCCATTTTTATTCTTTGCCTGGAACTGTAGATCAGCATATGATGCATAATACAACTTAGGTATCTGCAGGAAATGCAAAGCTTTATCTTATATTGCTTGTTTGAAATCCATCTTAGTATACTTTGCCTTATTGCTTCTTTTCCAGGCTTTTGATAACTTGCTTCGGAAATTACACAAGTATGTGCCTTATGGAGCATCTGTGGCTGATTTGTATGCAGGAGCTGGTGTAATTGGATTATCCTTAGCTGCCAATAAAAAATGCAGGCAAGAAGCAGGATGATCCTAAATGCTTCAGATTTCTCTCTGATTCTTGCTTTTAATGGGAACAAAATTTTATTCTCATTTTATTTCTAATGTTTACCAGGTCTGTCAAATGCATCGAGATTAACAAAGAGTCTAAGCCATCATTTGAGAAGACGATTGACCGCTTACCAAACTCTATAGAGGGCAGCATTAGCTGGCATAACACTGACACTTCCATTGTTAGTATCAAGTTCATGCAAATATATGGTCTTGCATATCATTTGTGATTCACACACAATTCACTCTACTTAGAATGATGTTTTTGCTATGCCTTGAGCTTGCATCAAAGTTTGGCCTGTACTATTGTTGTTAAGTAATTCAGAACTAACTGTATAATGGATTCACTTATTTTGCAGGATCCTCTTTCTTGGGTTGTTGGATCCGATGTAATTGTTGTTGATCCTCCTAGGAAGGGACTGGATGCCTCTTTGATTGATGCATTACGAACCATATCATCACATAAAGTTAAACCATCATTCAAAAGGTAGGATGATTCTGTATCTTTGACGCCATCTGGACAGGGATTTGATGGCAGTTCCTATAAACACTATTCAATTGTTATTTGGCATGTGCAGCCCTTAAATTTCAAATTTTTAACTCCTATATCTGAACTCCAGTTCTTCTTCAAATATAAAAGAAGAAAAGAGACCATGGATTTTACGTGAAAAAGAACGTGCAAAAGAAGCTTCAGTTCAAGTTGGAAGAGAAACAGCTTTGGAAGATCCTCAATCTCTTCCACAAACTCTCATTTATATAAGCTGCGGGTGGGAAAGCTTCAAAAAGGTACTTTTAGTTGGAAGATTGTGTAATTTCAGAGGTTTTACAAACTAATTGGATTGGGATGTGACAGGATTGCAAGGCCTTGTTGACCAGTAAGTGTTGGCATTTGGAAAAAGCCCATGGTTTTAATTTCTTTCCTGGCACTCAGAGGTATTGGTCCTTCAAAGTTGTGTTTTAGTGCATAAATCAAAGTGACCAAATGAACATGTATTTTGTCTGTCGCGTGATTTGTAAAGTTAACCCTTTCTTCTCCTTTCTGTGATATATCCGTTGGGAGTAATGTTGGGATATTTCTTGCAGCATTGAGGTTTTGGCAGTGTTCAAAAGGAGCCTTAAGAAAAAGAAAACAAGAAAGGAAAAGAAGAAACAGTTGTGAGGAACAGAGTACCATTGATTTTGCATTAAGTTTTTGAATCTCTTTTCACCTTCTTCCTTAAGAAAATGGTCAGATCATAGTCATAGGTAAGATGGGCATTTCATCAGTGTGTGGTTGTGAAAGATGCACTAACTTTTGAGTAGCCTTCGTTGTCAAACGGTCTCAGATTCAGCATGTTAAGAAGACTCAGAACTCGAGTATATATGTTGCATATGAGAGGACAGCAGAATGTAAATAGAAGAAAAAAATGTGTATCATTCATTACTCTGTGCTGAACCAAATGGAAATTTGTTCATTATTGACTGAAATTTTATGAAAAAGAATGGGCGCAGCTGAGCAAAGTTGCATGGTTGTTGATTCTCTTCTATCTACTCTAGGATCGGTGAAAAAACTGCAAAACTGATCGGAAAAGGTAACTCAGAAAAACAATAACAAATAGAAATGTGTGGTTCAAACAAATCTGCTGTTATACTTTTTTTATTGTTACGAGACATCAACTATCCTTTTCTTCCCCTTTGCATCTTGCTAGATGAGGAAAGGCAGTCAAAATGTTGTATGCCCGTAAGTCCTGCCTGGTTAAGATCCCAACTACAGGAGTCACCTGCGGGTGAAGCATGGCTCAGATTAGCAAATTGTTTGGAAGAAAACTTCATTAGCTATCAGAAATAGAAGAATTAAGTGAAGGGTTGGTAAACTCACCCCTGCCCCTTGATACTTTGGCACGATGAGCAAATGCCGAAGTCCAACTTGCCTGAATAGAACCATGGCTTTAGCCACTGACATGCTTTCCACCACCGTGTAAGGGGTTGTATTGGTGAGAGGATGTAAATCAGCATACATTTCCATTTCATCACGAGTCACAGCCACCTGCTCAATCTTCAGTTCCCTTTCGGCCAGATCAACCCAGTTGAATTTCTCCCTCACTTCCCATTCCTCTGTTCTCCTTTTCTCTGGCAGGAACCATTTCTTCTTCAGGGCTTGGACAAGGTGTGCTCTGAGGATCAGTCCATGCAGTTCTGTTGCCCCAGTGGCAATGGTTCCCGGCACCAGCACACCTTGATCGACAATGGGGAATGCGTTATGTGTAGTATTCTTCAATACATCCACGATACGTGACACCTTTTCCACCCCACAGAGAGTGACTACTGGTGGCTTGGCATCAGCAAGCTCACCAACAGTGAGATTTCTCATCCAGGGCTCAGGATTTGCATCCAGGAAAGGGAGGCCTTTGAGTTCCAGTATAATCTCGTAGATGCTGGGGTTGAAGCTGTCTCCAACAGTTTTCGCAATCAGAAGGACTATCATTGTTATTGGCAGCAAAAGAAGGTTGTTTGTGAGTTCAAGGAATATCACACAAAGTGACACAGTCATCCTCATTGAGCCAGCCATGAGAGAGGCTGCAGCGAGAACAGCATAAAGCCCCTGGTCTAATTTTGTATAGGATCCCATGACCATACCAAGAAGTCGACCATAACCTGAGCCCATGAGGATGATAGGGAGGAAGAGACCAGAAGGCACCGCAATGCCAAAAGTAATCAGCCCTAAGATGCAATAAAGTCCAAAAAAGATTAGAATGGAGGTAACTTGGTATTCAGAGGAAGTGTTGGAGGAGAATATGTTTCGAACTGCATCATCATTAGTGGTAAGAAGGAGGGTAGCTAGATCATTATAGTAGCCATCTGGGCAGTTGAACTGCTTGAAGTTCCCAGACCGATCTTTCGTGGGACAAGTATCAGGAAAAGAGGGATCACAAGCTCTGCATTGGGCTATAAAAGGGAGACAATATTGGCACAACGAGGTAAAGAGAGAGACGGCTAGAGCTAGAAGTAGTTTATGCATTTTCCCTTTACTGCAACAGAATAAAAAAAAATGTGATTATTAAACATTGAAGATAAAATGTGATTTACCATAATTGAAGAGAAAGTTGGATTCTGCGACTTACTGGTTAATGAGATTGTAGAGTCTGAGGACCTTGTGGAGAACGTGATTATAGAGGCTTCCCAGAAGTCCACCAATGATTCCAATTATGATCACAGGGATTACATCCATGGGATGGTAACTGACAGTAACATCACTCACATCAAACATGATCAACCCTCCTGTTCCGAAAAGGCCACATTTCCCAGAATTGCAGATTTCAATGAATGCCCTCAGCACCACCACCACAACCGCTGTACTAAAGAAAGTTCTCCAGAGAAGGGCACTCCTCCACCACGTTGCTACCTCTTCAAGAGAGAACAGGACGCCTCCCACCGGGGCACGGAAAGCTGCACAAACGCCTGAGGAAGCACCACAGGTGATGATATCTCTGCGATCACGGTCATTGTTGAAGTAGCGAAGCCAACGCCACTTGAGACGGTAGTTGTCAGGCCCTCCCTGGGCTAGTAAAGAAGAAATGCAACTACCTATGTGCACCAGGGGCCCTTCTTTCCCCAGATCCAGGCCAGCAGAAACTGCTCCAATGCTGCCCACAATCTACAGTTATTGAAAATTTATCAGCATGCTTAGCTATAATAAACAAAATAAAGTGGAGCTGACTCATACTTTATGTAACAGTTTCTTTGGTTATGCTCCTGTGTCAACCGTGCATGACTTTACACGTAGGACTAGATCATTACCCAATTTCAGATCTGATCGAACTTTCATCATCCATATTTTGCTGAAACCTTAAATTATAAGTCAGATATGAGATCGAGTGTTCATTTTCAGATAATGATCAAGTCACTTTCAAAACGTACGTCAAACTCAATCCTTTGAAACATGCACCCTGGTGCCAACCATAACCAAATTTATTGTCTGATTTATTCTACTTCCTATGAGTATATTCTTGTATGATTTGAACCATTATTGGAACTGTTTGTTTACAAGGCATTCTGATTGAAAGCCAATTAACCAACCTTGACAATCAATGTTGCGGCACCAAACATGTTAGGAGTATCAACCCCGTTGAGGTAAGCCTTGATTTCCGGAATACCAGGACCAGCTGCAGTTGGCGCAAAACACACACACAGAAGTGCAGCAGCCAAGGTCAGGGCAAAATTGATACCGGTGAAAAAAACAAACCCAGATAAATACCTGCATCAAGTCACCTAGTCATATCAAAATCAAATTCAGATTCTCTTGGATATAAGCAAAAGTTTGGTATTTGATCATGGAAACGGAAAACAATGATCAGAAATGCAAGGAACGACATCTAGACCTTCCCTCCTCGATGAAACCAACAATAGCAAGAAGCTTGTAGCCAGCAATGTTCTCAATTGCAAGATTGATAAGAGTGGCAATCAATCCTGTTAGCAATCCAACAAGGAAAGCCAGAGTCCATTTCAAGAATATGTACTGCAAAACCTGTACTTTGGATCTGCTTCTCCAATCATGCTTGAAAATATCGTTCTCATTGATCCTGCATCACGGCCACCACTGATCAGTTCTCAATAAATGTTACTCAAACAAAGATCAAACAAGAAAGAAAGAGAACTGAATCAGAATTCAAAATATTTATGTAAGTAAACAGTTATATTACTCATAGTCCAAGCTCTCTATATGAGAGACCTTGGCTCCAACCAAGGCTAGTGGACTGGAAGATAGAGTTCTGCTTCTCTTGAGAAGTGGCTCATGTAGAGAATTGCTCTCAGGGTCTCTTTCTTCTTCATCAGCTTCAGCTTCCAAGCTATGGGGAGTTTCTGGTTTTGCCAACTGGCTTGAATCCTCCTCCATTGTAAGAACAGAAGCTTGACGAAGACAAAAGAATTAATGGAGATGCTGCTGATCTTTTTCTTTTCTAGTTGGCTTTTAGATGGCCATGGATTGAATAGCCTCTTTATATCTCATGGGATTTTTGAAAACTTGGAAAATGCCTGTCATCATGCACCTTATACTTCCCTATTCCTTTGTCTTTTAAAAAAATAATTTATGTAAATTTGTACACACTTTTTGTTGCTTAATAGCAAAATTTTGGGTAAGACCTAGAAAAGTCAAGTTTCACATTTTTCTTTTGTTATATGTTTGTCACATGGCTCTGTCCTTTCTTCTCCTTTTCCTCTCATTAAACTTATTGTTAGGTGAACCAATTATTTCATTTATCCTAATTCTTTTTATATTTGGGAGTTATTGTCAAAGGTCAAAAAAAAAACACTTGCTGTTTACAACAAAGCTTTTTGGGGGGGGGGAGGAAAAGGAAAGCAAGTATTTTTGTATAGCATGTGGTCCAAGAAAAGGTGAGGTGATAATTATCCTTGGACTTTTGGCCATAAATGATTAAGCCACTCTCCAAGGATGCCTCAAAGCCCAAGAATTTTAACAGGAGGAAAGAAACAAGGATAAGGGGTGCAGATCAAGTTATAAACCTTTCATTTTCATTCATCTTAATTTATCCACCCAATGGAAACTTGATTAATAATCTTAGATGACATAATTCTCAAATGGGTTGTTTTTTGAAATTTTAAATTCGAATTAAAATAAAGATTTATGTATGATGCAATCTTAATATATTACTTCAATAAAGAAATAATAATATTTAATTAAATGATAGTATATAAATATTATGTACAGAATTAATGTACATCAAATATAAATTTTTAAAAATTACAATTTGGTATCTTTGAAAGATTTGCAATTATTTGAGTGAATTCTTGGTCCACCATGATTAGCATATGATATGATAGCTACTTATTTCATTTTATTTGTGCAACATTGAGTGCAAGCAAATGGCAAACTAAATTTTGAATTTCTCCTTTATTTTAATAGTTTATGAAAATTTTCATAATAAAAAAATGCATTTTTTGGTCAAAAGAAATCCACGCCACGCATCCCCCGCAAATCACTACTTAGATCGCCCGGTGTCTACATGGTTGATGAAAATTAGGCCCACCTTCGATACAAGAAGGCCCCATTTTTAATCCTCATTTGGGCCCACCAATGATCATGTCTCTCTCTCTAAACTCAATTATGTATCACTCATGATATGCACAAAAATAAAGTAAAATTCACTTTTGTTTCTTGTGATTTTAATATGTTTTACTTGGTATTCAGTATTTTCCTGATTAGCATCATGGAGATAATTCATGTTGTTATAAAGAGTTAAACTATTAATTTTTTAAAAAAATTAAATTAATAATTTTGATCAATAAAATTATAAAAATACTTTTTAATATAAACAAATAGGCTAATTTAAATTAAAAAAAATTGATAATTTTATTATACAAATTAATGACCTCAAAAATATATTTATAAAATGTAAATTGAGAAAAAAATTACAAGTTATGAATTGAAAAAAGTTAAAATATAATAATGTAGCAAAAAATATATATTATATAAAAAATAACCGAAAAATATTAAAGAAGAATTGTTCCCATTGGCTGCGTCCTGTTTTTCGCAGTTGTCCCCTTCTTGTTCACATGCTAAATATTTGGTCCCTCGTGACAGATCACCGACGAACCTCAGAGCCCAATTGGACTTAGACACGTGTAATGATCTAGATGGGGGAGATCACAAAGATCAACGGTGAATAAAAATCCGACCCTTGAGGTGATTGAAGGGCCACCCTTATCCATATTATTCATAGATTTTTTTATTTATTTCATATATCAATCATGGAACCTGGCAATAAAACAAATAGAAAAATAATTAATAACGTGATGGAAATACTCCGGATTTCCATTAAATCATCAACATGTGTTTTGGCCCTTTCTGAAGTTGACATGTGTATGGGCCACGTGGCAAACATCAGATGGGTTGACGGGTGATCTCAGACAGGGCAAAACAAAACGTCCCCCCACCCCAGCACCCCCCCGGTGCCAGCTGGTATGTCCCCAATCCCCCACATGTATGTCTTTGTCTTTAGGTTGGGTTGGATGCGATAAAACTTCTCTTGTCCTTATCTGCCTACACACCCAGGTGGAGAACTGTCAACCATCCGATCTGAGGACTTTTTTTAAAATTGCAATTTTGAATTTTTTTTTAATTTAGAGTAAATGAAATAGAAGAGATGCCCATGGGATTATCGTGAAATTTAGGAAAATGCAAAATCGAGACGCCACTTTTCAGTCAAACCACATAAATGCAAAAGCAGGATGTCTGTGATTTGTCCCATAATAATAATTCACCCCCATCCTTTTTCCTTCTTATCTCAACATACATCAATTTTTTTACTTGATTCTAAGTTTAATCAAGTAGCCGCCAAAAAAAAACGAACTGTTTTCCATTTATCTTGATGGTTATCAAATTTTATATTATAACACATTAAGCTAAAATTCATTTGTAAATCTATAACATTATACAAAAATTATCTCAAAATAAGTGTTCTATTGACAAATGTCCAAGACTCGCTCGACATTTTTTATAAATAAAGAGGTTGGGAAGGTGTTTTGGGTTTTAAAATATTGAAATTCGATATGGATTAAAATTTAATTATTCATATCTTATTAAATAAATTTTAACACCTAATCCTTGAACTTGAAATAAGCTCCCGATTGATAATACCCTATGACCATTACAAAGAAGAACAAAATTCACATGTCTACCATTATTTGCGAGTTCACACGCTACAAGACAACTTGTGTCACACGCTCCAATCATTTAAATAGGATAATGAACATTTCTCTCTTTCTGACTAATCCAATTTCCAATTTTGAAAT